CCAGTTTGAAAATTTGGGCAACTCTCTAGCTTATGGTAAGCGGAGAAATACTGAACCTATCAGGAAGGTCAGCTTCCTGAAAGTAACCACTGAGTGCCCGAAATCTACCGAGACTCTCAGCTCCGGTAGATGTTGACCAGATAGGTAACGCTCCCTAAATATATAGCGCTTCACAGCCCTGTATCAAACCCGGCCAGCGAGGATCAGCGTTGATCAAAGTTAGACAACGCCCCGCAATATGCAGCGCCTCGCAGCCTCGTACCAAAGCCAGCACTGAAACAAGTTCAGACAGTGTCCTTCCAATAAATAGTCTGAGAAAGTTGTACTTTGCGCACTCGCACTCACTCACGCTCTCGCACTAGCTTGTTTGAAATATAGCTGTTGTGTTCCCTTCGGTGAGCTATTTTTCTCCAGCACCAGGCAATGGAGCGGGTCAGCAGCGGATACCACAGATTGGCGAATCAGCAGATATAACAGGACTTAATGCGTGAGTCGATGGATGCCGGCTTACGCACAAACTCGTGAAATGCATGACAGCTCCACAGGACCTGAACATTGAGTAGGTTGCCAGGCAGATCTCACAAGCCTTGTTTATTGAAAAGTTGCAATTCAAAATTTCATCTAATGACGTTCAACGGGCAGCTGCACCTTCATAAACATACAGTTTTTTCTCGGGTAACACAGGTGACTAACATTTGTATGCAGCACCGCATCTGATACAGATTTAGCGCACCCATTCCTGGCGATTCATGCTGCCCACTGTAGTCCCTTCCAACAACATCTCTAAATACATAAGCAAAAGTTTAGGGCAACGCTATGCAGCTAAATGTTCATGGCAGCGTTCCATTTCGCTTGCTACCTAGTAAGGACTGATTTTTTCATCAACGTTAAGAGATTTGGAGAAACCAGACCTGAGAATTTCAGCTATGCTGCTTTAAGAAAAACTGAGGAAACTTACTAAACGCCTGTTTGTTGGTACCATCGGCGTCAAAAGCGTGGTGTACTTCATTGCACAGTAATAATTGTTAAGGTAGTATTCACTGTGCATATAACGGTGCGGCTTACCTGAATCGCAGATATGAGTTCAAAATAATCCACGTGTTTTTCATTACTTTCAGGCAATCAACGTTGACCCTGTTCGTTAGGGGAACCAGATATTTGTTCGAAGGTGTACCCTCCTTATAAGGTTTGCTCTATATCCACCATAAAATATCACCAAAAATCAGAGGTTTGCCAAACGCGCAAGCAATCCAGCAGACAAACAAACGAAAGTGAATCAAGTGAGCACAACCCCCGGAGATCCTTTAGCTATATGCTCCAGGTGAACTGAAGCTGGATTGATTTTGTGATGTTGGTGATATTGGTACAGAAATAAGCGTGCTCATGTGTACAAAGTCTACCAATTTTACTCTATTTTTTCTATTCCCGCTCAATATTTTTTGCGGTCGGTCTTCAGAAGAATGGCTTCTGAATTTATCGTCATTTGCCTGTCGGGTCCAGGACACCGTTTTGATATCGATTCCACTCCCACCTGTTCACAGACTCCTTCGTTTTTGGCTAATAGCGTCAGTAACCAGGCCTAGCATACCTGTCAACAAAACATGAATGCACACAGCAGACTCATGCTACTTTCCATCACGTTTGAAAGCGACACGCGAAGAGAGAAAACCTTGAAAATGCACATGAACAATCGGGACAACCGGAAATTTGGTGTAGACCGTACACACATGCATGAAGTTGGTGATGACGTAATTAAAGTAACATCTACATCGGTGAAAATAACTCTTCTTGGCAGCCAGATTTGAGTGTCGCCTACCTCGATCAGGCTTTGAAGTGACACGGACACCAGGTACCGCGTTTCGACATGTAGCATGTGATAGCCCCTCGGCTGCAACAGGTTGAATAGTGGTTGAGTGGTGGACGCGTAGTCTCAGTTGTTTCCAGGCGGTTCTGTACCCGAATAAGTGCCAACAATCTTACTAAGACGCGACATCACGATGTACCAATGCCTCTAACTTTTTATCAGATTATTTAGCGAACGGCCCAGATGCACGCTTGAGCTTTGACAAGGGAGGCGTCGGGGCTAACGGATTACTTTCGTCACTTTTTAGGTCGATGACCCTGTAAACTGGTCCCCGACTTCCCAACGTAGTACACGTTAGATAAACGTGTGCATACGTATGCAAATGTGCGCTTTGTAGTTGACAAACTGGTTCTCTGAGCACGTATTTCGTACATTATGCTCAGCGAATTGAAGTTTCAGAAGGACAGTTCTGCTTTGCGCTAAAACTGATGTTAATGTACAGATTTAAATAAATTACTTAAGACGCCCATCGGCCTGTAGGGTTTGTTTCGATAACAATAACAGTAAAGTTTCTTGTGAGTAAGTAATTTTCTACTCAGCCACGTTGACGTTTGTTAGAACTGGAGGTGAAAAATAGAGAATACGTGTAGCTATCAATAAGCTATCCACCCTAGACCGAAAACATTTTGGTTACCCACCTA